GCCACAAAGCCTGGCTATTTTTTGTTGCAGTTTGGCTGGAGCCAGGTTCAAACCCACCACCCTTGGTATATGGGGCTGGTGCTCTACCCACTGAGCCACAGGTGCTGCCCACAGATAGAAATAATGAAACATAAAAGAAAGTATGTTTTTAAAGTGGAAAACCTTGGGGGTAGCCAAGGCGTTGTGGCAAACATCTGTAGTCCCAGCTATTTGGGAGGCTAAGGCAGGAGTATCGCTTAAGTCCAAGAGTTTGAGGTTCCTATCGGCTATGTGACACCATGACCCTCTACCCAGGGCAACATAGTGAGAATCTGTGCCCCCCCCCCAAAAAAAGCCTGGCAGGGTTTTGTTGTTGTTATTTATGAGTACTAGATGTATGTTGTTATGCAAAATAATGCTAAATAGTTTATCTCTAAACAATTATTCTCAATTTTAAAAATTACTGGAAGAGTTTAATCTTACTTTTGAACTTAAATTAATATAAACCTTACTTAAAATGCTAGAATAACTTACTGTATAAATACATAATTAAAATTATTGTTGCTTAAAGGATTTTAGTTAAAAGCATTTCTATCTTGTGCTTTATTTTCTATTATATCTGCTATAATAATTTAAGTAGGACAAAACCAAATAGTCTGTTTCTCCCTTATTTCAAACTGTTAAATGTCAGTTAACATCTGGAACTTTATTCTGAAAACAATGTGTAGGGAAGTAGTTTACATTTTTTATTGTAATATTAGAAATTAGTCAAGTTTCTGGGAAAAGGCCAGGCATGGTGGCTCATGCCTGTTGTCCCAGTGCTGTGGGAGGCCGAGGCAGGTGGATCGCCTGAGTTCAGCCAAGTTTGAGACCAGTGGAAGACCAGCATGAGGCAGAGTGAGCCAGAGTAAGACCCCATCTCTACAACAACAAAAAAAAAAAACAAAAAAAACAGCCGGACGTTGTGATCCCAGCTACATGGTGAGGGGGAGGGGAACAGGAGAATCACTACAGGAGGAAGAAGAAAAAAAAAAAAGTTTCCAGAAAAGAGAATTTCTGTTGGTGATTTTCAGATAGAATAACCTAATTCTAATTTAGGCACCCTAACCTAATCGTAATTCTTAGAAAGATCAAAAATAAGAATACCATTCCTCTACTAGGAGTATATCCAAAAGACCAAAAATCACTTTGCAAAAAAAGATATTTGCACCAGATTATTCACTGCAGCTCAATTCATAATAGCTAAGTCATAGAAGAAGCCCAAGTGCCCATTGACCCATGAATGGATTAATAAATTGTGGTATTATATACCATGGAATACTATGCAGCCTTTAAAAAGATGGAGACTTTACCTCTTTTATGTTTACATGGATGGAGCTGGAACATATTCTCTTGAGTAAAGTATCTCAAGAATGGAGGAAAAAGTATCCAATGTACTCAGTACTTCTATGAAACCTACTTATATTTACTCACACTTTCTTATGAAAGATAGAACACAACTATAGCCCAGGATGAAGGAGAGAAATGGAATGGGAAGGGAAAGGAGACCTGGAACATATTCTCTTGAGTAAAGTATCTCAAGAATGGAGGAAAAAGTATCCAATGTACTCAGTACTTCTATGAAGCCAACTTATATTTACTCACACTTTCTTATAAAAGAATACAACTATAGCCCAGGATGAAGGAGAGAAATGGAATGGGAAGGTTTGATAGAGGGAGGGTAAAAGATGGGACCACACCTATGGAGCATATTGCAAGGGTAAAAGTCAAATCTGTTAAGTGTAGAACATAAATGTCTAAACACAATAATTAAGTAAATGAGGTGAAAACTATGTTGATTGGTTTGATGTAAGCATGTCAGATTATATAAAAAAAATCAACACATTGTACCCCACATATGCATAAATGTATTCATGATCTATGTGTATATGACTTAATAAGAAAATAAGAAAAAAGATAAGAATACCAAATGTTGGCCTGGCGCCGTAGCTCAGTGGTTAGAGCGCTGGCCACATACACCAGGGCTGGCGGGTTCAAACCCATCCCGGACCTGCTAAACAACAACGACAACCACAACAAAAAAATAGCTGGGCATTATAGTGGGCACCTTAGTCCCAGCTATTTGGGAGGCTGAGGCATGAAAATCACTTAAGCCCAAGAGTTTGAGTGCTGAGCTACGACACCCCAGCACTCTACCGAGGGCAACATAGCAAGACTGTCTCAAAAAAACAAATACCAAATGATGACAAAGTGATCAAGTCACTTTGTCCCGGACAGTGTCCTTAGGAGGTGAAGCGGGGGCACAGCATTCCACATAAGCCTCCCTCTGTGATCTTCTTGAGGTTCAAATTCAATTGCCCTTTTTATCTAACATATATTGTTTCCTTTGGCAGTTTGATATCTCTGATCTAGTACGCTGCATGAGACTACAAAGACACGGAATGGTTCAGACAGAGGTGAGTCTTGGCTGGCTCTCCTAATGAGGATTTTTGTATAGATTCTAATATTTTTAAAGTTCCTATTAAACTGTTTCTCTTTTTGAAGGTTCTCATGTTTTATCATAAAACCAAACATTTATTTCAGTAAAGGGTAATTTTTTAAAGCATGAAAGTTAATTAGGAAAAAACATTAAAATTTATCTTGTCTTTTTAAATATTCCCCTTTAATTTAAAAAATGAGGAAATGCAATATCTGCACCCAATAGATTACAAAGAATGGGATAGCAAGCTGGGGCAGAGATTGGGAGTGGTACAAAATATTATGTAATTAATGGCACTCCTTCCTAAGAAATTTCCAACCTAAGAAAGAGAAGGTAACAGTCTTGCCACAGAAATTCCCTAACAGGGAGTGGATTTCATCACCATTGACTAGAGAATAGCCAGGCAGGCTGCAGTTTTTAGCTTAGAGAAGACGCTCTGTAGACAGGGGGAATGGGAGGGGCCGTGTATCCTCTCATTTTCATTTCCTCTACCTGAAATCAAACCATAGATTTTATCAATCGCCGAGTTGTGTCCTCCACAAGGAGTGTGTTATTTAGAGTGTCTGTCTTCACTGAGGAGTTCCACTACCCTTTTTTCTTTTTTGTTGGGTGGAGGGTGGGAGTTGGGGGAGGAGATATAGAAGCTATATTCATATATCTATAAATTCGTGTTTTTCTGCCTCTTAAAAAATTTGGAAGTTTGGCGGCACCTGTGGCTCATTGAGTAGGGCTCCACACCCATATACAGAGCGTGGAGGGTTCAAACCCGGCCCCGGCCAAACTGCAACAAACAGTAGCCTGCTATTGTGGCGGGCGCCTATAGTCCCAGCTACTCAGGAGGCTGAAGCAAGAAAATCGCCTAAGCCTAAGAGTTGGAGGTTGCAGTGAGCTGTGACACCATGGCACTCTACCAGGGGTGACAAAGTGAGACTTTTTCTCTAAAAAAAAAAAATTTAGAAGTTTATATCCTTAAAATCTGCCTCCTTTCCTTTTGTATCAGCATATAAAATTTAATTCAAATTAAGTCTCCTAAATATTAAGCTGATTTCCCTGAGGTAGGGAAAATAGATCAACTGGTATAAGCAGCTCTTTAGACTCTAGAAGTTTGTTTGTTCATTCATTTATTCAACAAATATTTACTGAGTGCCTGCTATATACTAGGAGCTCTGATATATCCCTGGAGCACATCAGTGAGTAAAACAAAGATCCCTGCTAGAATGACACAGACACTGTAGCTGGGTGGTGATGAGGACGACAGACCATAGACACATTAATATGAGATCTCTGAAGGTAATGAGTGCCTTGGGGAAAAAGAGTAGAGGTTAGCTGAAGGAATCCATCATTGCAAATTGGAGGGGCAATTTTAAATAGAGTTTTGTACCACTGGGAAAGTAACACTTGGGCAAAGATTTGAAGGCAGTGAAGGTGGGGTTCATGTGGATACTACATATGTGGAAGTCCAAGGTGGAAATAGGTCTTGTGTGGTCAAAAATAGTCACACCCAGTGTAGTTGGGGGAACAAGAGAAGGGTGAGGTTAGAGAGGCAGTGAAAGGGCCAGGACTTTCCTCCAAGTGCAATGGGAGCTGTGGTAGGATTGTAGCATGATCTAACGCACGTTTGGTAGGATTGTAGCATGATCTAAGGCACATCTGGTAGGATTGTAACATGATCTAAGGCACATGTGGTAGGATTGTAGCATGATCTAACGCACATGTGGTAGGATTGTAGCATGATCTAA